CGCCGCCTGACTCTAGCTGCTGGCAGAAAAGGCGTGGCGTTGATGAGATCGTTGATGGGATGTACACGCGTGACGTGCAAATCAACGGTGCAAAAAGAAGTTCAAATTCCGTTTCTAAAGTTTTACGCTGTTTTTCTTGATTTTTTCCTTACCGCTGCATCTCTGACCACCTCTATCGTAGTTTCCACTGGGCTGTTTCTTCCCCTTGAACTCCGCCTTTGAGATAACTACAAGGTAGTACAGTCTTTTCTCATCAAGCCATGGAATTTCATCGGGATGATGCGTGATCGAGGAGTTTCAAAATTTTCTGCCTGTTGGTAGGCAAACTTTATTAGCCACTTGCAGTTGAGCGGTCACAGACGAACTACGTAAACCAAATATGCGTCATAATTGCTAATACGAAAAGAGCATTTTTTTCAAACGTAAGGTGATTCTCTGAATTGTTGACGGTGTGGATTTCAAAATGTCCTTTACTCTCAGTTCAACACACGTCCTCGAACAAGCGCTGGGACAGCTAAACTGGCCCCTATATGCTCTCTTCAGGCTCTTTCTGACAATGTTTCCAGATTGACGTGGATGGAGAAGACAGTGATCCAAACTATGTTGCATCGTTTGCTAAGAATGTGGTGGCTCGTGTGAGAGCTGATCCGTTGTACTGCAGTACATCGGCGTGTTTGAACAATACTGGTCTAACGGTTCGTTGACATTTCATTCCATGACATCAATTCAATGCCCAGTCATCTCATGGGGAATCTCATCGAAGGACTGATTGGGTGTAACATCCTTCCGCGTTCTCCATTACCTTTCATTTCGCTATGTGCTACTTATTCTCAAGAACAACTATCGCTGTTATTCCCATTTTTCGACGTTTCTTCTCGGTTTCTTAACAAGATTTCGGATTAAAATAGTGTGGAAAAGTGTTCAGAATTAAGGCGGATTGGGAGGTTCGAAAGGAAAGAAGCAAAGCAACCACCGATTACGTAGGCCGCACGAAACCTCTCCTATTTCAACCGCAATTTCACCTTGGGATGAGAAAGTGCGCATGACGAATTGGCGACTAGCCTTAGTTCTACATCCCATAACAATTGGCCGCAATTGGACCGCCAGTGCCCATACTTGGACCGGCCAGTCCCACCCATTTGGGTCCAATTGAGCCGGTCGGACGACCCTGCGCCTTTTCGCGGCACGTTCGAGCGAAAATGGGCGCGACACTCACGCATAGTCTCCTTCTACTACCTCGAGACACGAGCGCGCCTACCCGGAGCGTCCTTAGTCCCCCAATCCACCTCTTCATCAATCCACAAACGAGCCGTGAGCGTATTGCGTGGCAGACCGTAATAGTGAAACGAATCAATGTTCCATTTCAAGCTAGAAGAAGTCGCGGATTAAAAAAGCGGCTGCGAAGTGTCTGGGACCGCATCACCAGAATGGTAATGCAGCCCGACATTCGTGTAGGGTGAATGCTGAGCCTACAAAAAGAACAAATAGGAAAAGCAAACCCATAAAAATCATGTATGTAATCGACTGAAAACAAAGAAATTTTGCAATATAAGGTAAAGATGAAATATTCTGCATTGAATCAATCCTTATTTAGAGATGGCTCAGCCATACCACTTCCATGGGAATCGTAATGGCAACTCGAATGCCATTGGCCTTTACAATGATGGAAGCCAGCTGATGTTTACAATTCATATACCCTCCAAGTCAAGCCTGGTACTAGTTGACCCACCTTTAGACCGACGTCATAGTCGGCGACGGGACAAGCGATGGAGCGATCGCGATCGCTCCATCGCTTGTCCGTCGCTTGCCAATCGCTCTCGGTCGAGCGATTGGCAAGCGATTGCGCAATCGCTTGCAAAGTGCACAAGCGACGGGCAATGGCTCTGCTCGATCGATACCGCAGCCGACTGCATTGGCTGGGGGCGGGGCCAATCGCCCGTCGCTTGTGCACACGCGATTGCGCAATCGCTTGCCAATCGCTCGACCGAGAGCGATTGGCAAGCGACGGACAAGCGATGGAGCGATCGCGATCGCTCCATCGCTTGGTCCGTCGCCGACTATGACGTCGGTCTTAGGGCGGGCTGAAAGGCTTTGTTGACCCGGACACGCATGACTCAGATTTGATCCCCGGATCGTGCGCATGCAAGTAGCGCCGCATACCACTTCCGTCCTTTTTGCCATATGCACAGATAATAACGTATTGGGCAGCTTTGCGTGTGAACAGCATACACGAGCAGCGTTGACGAGGCAGTGTGGTGTTCCTCATAAAGAGCTAAATGTGCCGAGCTGACCGCATTTTTGCAGATGGGTTCCTTCTCGCGGCATTTGCACGATGCTTTCTACATGTACGCATCCGCTGTCAGCAGAGCAGATGATCTGGAGCAAGATGGTCGAAAAAACGCAATGGCGATGAAAAGAGCAATGCAGGGCTCATTCCAAGGTACTTGGTTTGGCCTTCGGGTTTATCATTTGAACATCCATACAGTGATTTCTCAGGGCTGACCGGACAAGTTGCACTCGATTCTACTGGCACTAGAGTACCTCACTATGTGGTCTACGGTGTCGACAAAGATGGTGAGCAGTGGTCATTCATGAAGATGACGTCTACTGACGATGTCAACATAGTAAGTGCTATATGATTATTAGTAATTGCGTCCAGACACTATTCCGCTGCTTTTAAGAACGTCAGTCTTTTGTACACAGATGAAGCTTCAGTTTGGGCGACGAGAGGAGGAAGGAGGTTTGTCGTACGCTGAATCCTTTTTGATTGAAACATACAGCGCCTTTCAGACCTCTCACCAGGCCTTTGTGTGGTTACACTGGGACTGAATGCCCTCTGTCTTTCTGGGATCAGTACCTTGTTTACATTGTTGTTGGAGGATCTCTATTATTTGTCGTGATCATATCCTTGATTTGCTTGGTAATCTGCATTGTGAGGTGAGAGACAGTGACTGTAGCATTTTTGGCATGTTCTGGTTCAAATCGAATGAATTCAGAGCGAAGAGGGTTGAGATGGCAAGGCTGAACGCTGAATGGCAAATACCATCTGTTACGCTTATTTCCACAAAGAAGGTTGCTTGTTCTTTCACTTACTCCATTTTAATGCTTTGATTTCCACGGTTCATATGCGCCATAATGAAACTGAGCGTTCTGGTTGGCTGACTAGCAGTGAAGGGAAAAAGAACTGCTGAGAACCTTCAGAAGCACATAGCGGCGAAAAAATTGTGGGCAGAGTATGCGGCTTCCCCATTGGTCTGTGCTCTCGATACGGTAGACCGACGAGAGAGCCGCAATCTTCGTCCACACGGCCAACGTAGGCCGGTGTCAGACTTGGCGAATCCAGCTAATCGCGGGGTGCGACGAAGCGTCAGCGGTTCGAATGACGTGCCAGTGACTTGACAGTGTTTGAGATTGGCGGGAACCCCACTCGTGCGTGCGTTCGCTCTCGCCACTTTCTCGGGCAGGGTCAATCCTATGTTGCGACAAGTACCAACGGGGGTCGTATTTTGTTGAGATTGGAGGGGGGGGGTCGTATTTGATGTAATCTTAGAATTCATGGGTGAGTTTAGGGCGTGTAGTGTGAAGGAGCGAGAAAAATTTTGCCGTTTCAGTATACGTATTTCAGTGTACGTATATACCCCGTTCGAGGGCGGTTTTGGAGGGAAACTTGGGTGGGGTTTGGTGTGTCGACTGGTCTCAGAATTAAATCCTATAGAAAGAGTGACCATGATGGCGAGGGTCGCGAAATTTTTACAGGCAGAGGAGGGTCGTAAAAAGTTCCGGAAAAGTCGCAGCTGTAGGATCAACCCTGTTCTCGGACCCAGAAGGGCATTCAGAGAGCGAGAGGGCACGAGAGCCTGAGAAATTGGCTAGTGTGAACGTGCAAATAAAAGGGGCTCCCCACTTTCAAATAGTGTCAAGTCGCTGGTACATCGTTCAAACCGCTGGCGCATCGCTCGTACCCCGTGATTCACTAGCGATTAGTTGAATTCGCAAAGCCTGGCACCACCGTACAGTGCGTCTACGAGCGCTATCCGAATTGTTGTTCCCCATGAACAACACTTTCTTTTTCGGATGCAACCACCCATATCAACACAGTAATGGTGACGATTTGAAATATATTTATTTATTTTATTTAGTTGATGCACGCATAGGTGCGCTATATCATAGACAATAGGATACCGCTTGTGCAAATGGAGTTTGACCGACCTCAACTAGTAAGGGAAAGGGAGTTACTATGCAACAAGAGAAAAATAAATAATTTCTGTCCAATCGAAGAAATTGTTGAGCAGATCAACGTGTTCACCACTGATGACTCTAGATAGGCGGATGGCGCTAGGGATAACGCCACTCCTAGACGAGCTCGGAGCATACGTACGGAATCCGAAACTGAATTTTCGGATGTTAGGTATTCCCTACCCCTAACAATTCAGTTTCGACGACCCGCCTCAACATTAAAGGACGAATTCACGATCAGAGGGAAATCGAATTAGGAAGAATTCACCTGGTTGAGGGACCCGCGGAGCTCCTAAGTGTGCGAACTGAAGCACAATTTGCACAGGAGGAGTTGACCTCGTTGACCTATTAAGGTTTAATCCCGCCGCGGCTGGTCAGTGCACGCCCACCGATCATCTGATCACTCGCCGCAGGTCTATACGTGGTGAGTGATTAGATAGGTGAGAGAGCGTAGTGTTGAAGAGGGCACAGCGATGATAGTCGCATCAATGCTCAAATCAACGGGCAAGGAAGGGGTCCCATTTCTCGGGTTCTGGGCCGTTTCTCATGGTTTTCCTTCTTTAGTGTACCACTCACCATCGCTAACTTAATTTGAAATGGGTTGCCTTTCCAGCGTGAATTCGTCCTTTAAGTCAATCCAGATCAACATCTGAACACAACTAAGTAGAGCTTAGTCAGAAGAAAGAAGGTCAGTGGATACTTGCGATTATGCACGGAATGTGTTAAACTTTCAGATTGATCGGCGAAGTCGACGATCGCTCCAGTCCGGTCCATCCACAACAACAGGGGATAGCACGTTTGGTAGCGATAAAAGCAAGTTTGAGGTGTTTGCCATGGACAAGGTGATCGACAGCTTTCATCCTACATTTTGGTAGAAGCCACGTGAATTTCTTTTCAGGAACTAGTGCTCGTTACCAAGCACCCTCCCTTGCAACTTACGTCTGCTGAGAAAACTCTGTTTGTTAAGGTAGCTTTTCCGCACTGCCTCTTTGTCGTATAGTCGAAGAAAATTTTGACTTTTGTGTCACTTCCTTCTAAAATACCCCTTAAAGGCAAGATTCGGGATAAAATAGGTGTGGAAAAGCGTTCAGTTATGAAGCTATAGGTGGGAGGTGGTCTGTAAAAGAGAAGGAAAGCAAACGAAACCACCGATTACGCCCCGTACAGAGACCTCCCCTATTTCAGCCACATTCCACCTTGGGATAGAGAAGAGGCGAATTGGACGAGTTTCACGAACCTAACTCTACTTGCTCCAGTGTCAATAACATTGGATCGCGCTGGGACCACTGCCTCAAATGCGCCCGCGCTTTTCAAGCAGCGCCACGTGGCAACCGACAGCGAAGGGTGGGGCTTGCGGACGAAGGTGTGAGTTGCGGGTTGGACGAGCTCCTTGCGCCTTTGTCGCGTACTTTCAAGCCGCAAAAGGGGCCCGACATCAACACTTGTCCACCTGCCTACTACCCCTGGATGGAACAGGCGAGCCCGCCTGATCGCGGAGCGTGCCTTTAATGCGTGGGTATCTCTGAGCCATATCTGGCTTGTATCAGTTGGAAGTTCAAAAGCGTTTCCTGACTATCCCCTACGCATTCGCGAAATTTGTTTGAAAATAACAATTTCGAAGTACCTCTGATCAAAACACTACATAATTTCTCATTCAAGGTCAAGTTTCCAACCTTATAGTTACGTAAGCTCGAGCACGAAAATGTCAACAAAATTCATTGGAGCGTCCATCGACAGCAACCAGTACATGGTTGTATGGAGAATTTGCTCTCGTGGCAGCCTGCAGGTACCACAAATCATGATACCCAATTTCTTATTAATTGTGGGAATATTTAGCCATATTAACAAATTTCCAGATTTTTCCGATTTTGACCATAGCTAGGTTTCCTCTCTCATGAGTACCAAAAACCGAACCTGGGAGCCCTAATGAACCCATGAGGGTGTCGTATCCACAAGTATGATTCAAGACAGATCATCAGTACGGAGGCGAGCAAATCGCGATTCAGTGTATCCGGGGGCGCCGCCTCTGTGACTATACCACTTCTGCTGACTTTATGATTTATTTAAAGGCAAGATTCGGGATAAAATAGGTGTGGAAAAGCGTTCAGTTATGAAGCTATAGGTGGGAGGTGGTCTGTAAAAGAGAAGGAAAGCAAACGAAACCACCGATTACGCCCCGTACAGAGACCTCCCCTATTTCAGCCACATTCCACCTTGGGATAGAGAAGAGGCGAATTGGACGAGTTTCACGAACCTAACTCTACTTGCTCCAGTGTCCAATGACATTGGATCGCGATGGGACCGCTGCCTCAAATGCGCCCGCGCTTTTCAAGCAGCGCCACGTGGCAACCGACAGCGAGGGTGGGGCTTGCGGACGAAGGGGTGAGTTGCGGGTCGGACGAGCTCCTTGTCGTATTTGTCGGCGAGCGGTAAAAGGGGCGCGACATACACTGTCAAACTGCCCATCCTCGAGATGAACACGGCGAGTTGCGCCTTTAAGGCGGACTGGTCCATGCTTCCAAAAAAGTTATGGTAGAAAAGGGTAAACAATAATACAGATGCTGCATATCTAAGATCAGGCGAAAGCCTCAAATAGACTATTCTTTGGAGGTTTCACAAAACTAAACGTTCGAAGACGGCTTTCGAGATGGCCTGAGGCGAGAAAGCTAACTCTGTTTGAAATGGTCGATTCTGAAAGGCATATGCCGACGTGTTAGATGTTATGAATTCTTATGTTCACGATGACATATACGCCACAGGCTCCAAGCACTGGGACGGCCGCGAGCACAGTGAGTGTGAGCTTGTATGAATATCTTCCCAACGACCTTTCCATGTACGGTGCATCAAGTTACCGTAACCTATCTATTTGGAATACCGAAAACACAGAATACAGAACAGGAAATCCCTCGATCATTTTATAGAAGCTAAGAATTCTGCAGCTATTCATCCGTAATGGCTTAGGATTTCCATCTTCATTGAAGGATATCCGTTCCGGAAAATCTGGCAATCACTTCCGCAACACATAATATGGTCAGTTGTGAGCACTAGAGACCAACACACAAAGTTTCACGCAGAAAGGAAGAGAAACAAACTTACAAAAACCACACTCTATGGACAATCGAAGGTAATTCGGGCGGAGCCAAAGGCGGGCATGGAAAGAAGTCCGCCTTGGGGCGGCTACGTATCAGGCGACGCAATGAAAGAATCGGGTTAAAGCGTGCGATTTTGGAGAGTAGAGACAAATCGATCGATAGAATAGGATGCAGTAGAAGTGTGAGATGTTAATGCAATAAGTCAAAAAGACCAGAAAGAGCTTCTGTGAACTGCCACCTGAGGAGCAAGTGAAAAGCATTCCCGTTGCAGCAGCTTGTGACAGACCGGCGGTTTGAACGCGTAGCAGCACATTCGGTTTTTCGAGCTTTTTTTCACCAAAAATGCAACATTTGTTCGTCGTTTTCGGATCTATCGTGACCGACGGGTCCCAGGCCAGTGAATTATGGGTAAAATGGAATCACGATTTTTTCAAGAAGGTCTCCTTCATCGTCAGCTTGTATCTTAACTTTAACGTCAGGAGCATGAGTGATCATGAATACTATATTTATTGGTCAACAGTATAATTACGACTCCATGGTAGGTGAACACAAACAACTTGTTAGACCATATATATGCTAAAGCGAACTTTCACTTTCGATTTCATTCTTCATGGTCTGCATTATCCGAGACATCGCCGAGGTAAGTTCTTACCCATTCTGCTGGCCAGATTTTCTAAAGATGATTGTTGATAATTTTTAGGGACTTTACTTCCTACATCGCTCATTTGTTGGTGCGATTGGCACTCTTGAGTTCATCAACATGCCTTGTCAACGATGGCTGGCAAGTGAAAATCACTGACTATGGAATATCGCGTTTTGTCGATCGTCAAGCTCAAAAGAGTATAGTGAGTGCTAGCAAGTTTAAGGCAACAGTAAATGAGCACTTGCGATCGTAGATGGTCGATCAACCAATCACGGCGGCTTCTTCAGCACACATCATTTGCCTTTCTTCCACTTCCTGGCCCACGAAGGCCGGCGTACCAGCTGTTAGAACTTTATGGTAGGAAAGCAACGCAGTCTGAAGAAATGCAGGATAAGGAGATTCGTGATCTATGTTTAGTCCTTATATGTCTGGAAGAGACAGCAAAATGCGTTCAGATTGTGGAGGATTCTACGCAGAGATATTTCGCAAAGTGAGCGTGGGGTGTAAATGAGGAACTTCACAGAAATTTTGTAGAAAGGCTCGAAGATGAGGACCTGTTTTGCAGTGATCTGGAGCATTATTGGGGGCAACAGCGCATTGCAGATGTAGATTATACTGATATACCCCTCCGGAGCATGCGTGTGGTAACCCAACAGTGAAACTTCGCTTCAGATTCACAAGTTATACGAGGTGTAGGCGCACAACCACCTGCCACACACGCAAATTTGTCTCGTATATTTCGTGTCACCGATTTTTCATGCGTGCTCCCAGTTCTCATTTTCTTTGTGTCCTCTCAACGAAGAGAAATTGTGTCCAGCGAGCCCGCGAACTATACCGAGCGCCTTAGGAAACCGGGACAGTCTCACCAACTGCAGTCGCTACCTTTAGTGCTAGCGTTGCGCGCTGGAGGTCTGCAGCTGCGCTCCGGCGTCACCGCGGGTTACGGTGTGCGAGCGCCGGGTGGGAACAACTATAATCTTGTCACTGCAGAGAGACCATACGACAAGACACAGAGAGGTGGAGGCAAACAAGAAGGCAACTGCCGTAGTAAATCATCACCATTTGAAATCGCGAAATGTGTCGAAGAGCTAGTATTTTGGGAATGACGACGTTTTCCGTCTCTCTCACCCCTCTTACCTCTCCTCCTACAAACTGCGGAACCAGCTCAATCATTACTGTTGCATCCCAATTTTATCTGGTCCAGTATACCCTGATCCATTGTACCTTTAGAATGTGAATTGGAATACTGACTTTTTACGTGCAAATAATTGTTACAGTGTCACTATGGGTGGCTCCGGAGCACTTGGCCAGAATCTCCGGTCGGAGAATCGAAGTTGGGCGATATCTACTCGTTTTGGCGATTGTCTGCTCTGAAGTGGTCACTCGAAAAGCGGCATGGAATATTACTCAGAGATCGGAAAACGTAGACGGTGATTCGCCGTCAAATGAACTACGCATACTCTCATCGATGGACATTGAAAATAATGTCAGATAATTTAGAACTGATTTATCGCATCAAGAAGGGCGGTCAAGCTCCAATGCGTCCACAGTTAGAATTAGACGGTGTAGAAGTCAGCCCGCTCGGTGAGATTTACAGATGTTTGTGTCACTAGAGAAAATTTTCGAATTTAAACGAAGTTTGTTCTTTGCAACATTGATCCAAGTTACTTTTTTTAGTCCTGAGCCTATTCATATTGAAAAAGTATGCAAACTGCCGATCCCCTTAAATTTAAAGGAATCTTGCGCGGAAAAATCATGATTCTATTTCAGCCATAAATCACTGGCTTGAGACTCATTATCCACGATAATAGTGAAAAGAACTGAAGTATTGCTTTCGTTTTGATTAGAAATTCGAAAACTCGAAAAGGCTGCTACGCGTTCGAATTGCCCACGGACGTCTTTCACGAATGCTGGCGACGGGGATGCTCAAACTTGGTTCTTGGAGTGCATTCACTAGAAGCTCTTTCTGGCCTTCTGCTTCGTTGCATTCACATCTTACACTACTCCATCCTATTCCATCGATCGATTTGTCTCCACTCTCCGAAATCGCGCGCTTTAACCCGATTCTCTCATTGCGTCGCCTGGTACGTAGCCGGCCAAACGCCGTCTTCTTTCCATGCCTCGCCTGGCTCTGCCTCCTGGTCCTTCGATGGTCCATAACGTGTAGTTTTTGTACGTTTGTTTCTCTTCAGAAACCGAATCTTCATGCGTGAAACTTTGTGTGCTATTTCCAGTGATCACAACTGACATATTCATGTTAGGAAAGAGTGCAAGAATTTTCCGCGCAAGATTCCTTTAAGTAAGGTCAGGAGCTCGTCATCGCTGCGTAATAACTTGATTATCTTCCCATAAAAGAACACCTTCGAAATTTAGCGCTGAACCTTGTTCGAGATTGCTGGGATCAAAACCCAGCAGATCGACCCGAACTCGAATTCGTATGCAATCAAATGAGAGAAATGATGAGGTCATGGAAGAAAGCAAACCTCATGGACCATGTTTTCTCTATGCTCGAAGATTACACAACAACTCTTGAATTGGAGGCGAGCAATCACATATTGTTTGCACAAAAAAAAGTTTCACTCAGAACACTTTCAGGTGGAAGATCGAACGAAGGAATTGGCAGAGCAAAAGCAAAAAGCGGATCTTCTACTGGGAAGAATGTTGCCAAGGTTGGAAATGCCATCATAGCCATCAGCGTTTCCTGTAGTAATTGAGAACTTTGAAAATATCAGTTGATTTTTCGGGCTGCAAGTGCTTTGAAATTACTTCAGTCCTTTTTTGAAAGTTCATGAGTATTTTTTTCATTTTTCTACTCCTTTTTACAACGCCCAGTTCTCAAATGAACGAGAATCAAAGCACGATAGATGTGAAAAAGCATTTCCAAAACTCAAGCCAATTTATAGACAAGTAGCCGAGCGTCTGAAACTCGGCCAAACCGTTGAACCGGAAGGCTTCGACAGTGTCACAGTTTTCTTCTCCGACGTTGTGAAATTCACTCAACTGTCCGCTAAATGTACACCTTTCCAGGTAATCAGAATCTTAATTCAAAGATGATAGCCAATTCGAGATAACTATTGTAGGTCGTCAATCTTTTGAACGAACTTTACAGCAATTTCGATGCAATTATTGAGGAGCATGACGTTTACAAGGTATCCCATTCAGGTTTTGCGGAAAAAAGATTAACTTCTGTCATGTACAATATTCTGAGTGCAGAGGTATATGTTGCGATATGAGTTCTATAAAGTTCTTACACGGTAGAAATAATACAATAAAAAATAAAGATGTAAATTCTCACATCTTTTCTGAGAATTTTTCGCTTCTTCCAGCTGCCACGCGAGTCTTCTTTTGTTAATACTAACAGCTGAATAATACCAGATTCGAAATAATCTCAGATCTGTCATTGGTAGGCCCCAAGTGACCCTCAGCATAGCACCTCAATCTTGGGTAGTTATATTTTATTCGTGTATAAGCGAAACAAATAAAACGCAGGTCATACGTAAACAAAATGAATTCGTCGTTCAAATCAGAGTCTCGACATGATCATGAGACACAGATGCCAATGATCGAACGATCCAGTCTGGCAGAAAGAAAGTCTCAAAAATTCAAACGCTGGCTATAGAAGAGAATTAATTGAGGTGATTCCATTCAAAAGTGAAGGTAGGGTGTGAATCGCCAGTAAAGAAAAGAAAAAAATCGTGGAATACACACGAATACGAGCTGACCATCCAGCTTATTTACTTGTGATGTAGAATGGGTTCTAACAAATCCACACCCGGGAGAAGCCTTAGCTTAACGATTCGGGAGTTCTGACAGCAAAAGCCCAACTCCCTCTGAATTCTAACTTCCTGAGTCGTTGGCGGAATACGAGAGGGCTTTGCGCTGGGAACCGGCACCAACTAATACCAGTGTCAGTGATGAAGATAATCGTCGACAGCTTGATGGCAACGCCTTCAACTTGAAAGCAAAGTAAGACAAAAATTTATTTTTTGAGGTCGTTCGATTTCTTTTCGAGTTGTTCGAGATCCATTCTGTAGTGCCAACCTTGAGCCGAACGAGTGATATCCGCTCCCCTCTCTAGTTCACCTTCTGGAGAAGAAATCTCACTTGAATCACCATGAATGTCAAAATCGACATCCAATTTTTTCTTCGATCAGAACTCTATGAATTCTACAAGAGAGACACTGAATACCTACCCTCGCATTGGCGATATGTTGGTAATAATGGTATGTATGCTGTAAATTCATCCAAGAAAATAAATTAAGCGTATTCAGTCGAAAATCATTCAGCGGTGTCTCAAAAATCTGTGTGTCTCAACCTAATAAAGTGAAAACAAAGTAAATAAGTGTAACTTAGGAATAATTAAAAAAGCCAGATAACCATCACAAAATAAAAGTGAGTAATTTTATAAAATATGAACAACTGAGAAGATTTTGAAACGGAGCTCAACTATTTAGTCTTTCCTCAAAGTGCTTTGCTTGTTTTTTCTAGTGGTGCCATTTTTCTACCAAAATTACGCGCGCGTACTGTAATCTAGGTTCAGCGCGATACGCGGTTAACATCTCTTGGCACATCCAAAGTAAAAAGTCTTACAAACAGGGTGGAAAGTTCCTAACATATCTAGGCTGAAGTACATATCTGCTGTATCAAGGAACCTTTTTTCTAGGTTGAGTCTATTGGAGACGATACCTTTGCGTCTCTGCTATACGAAGTTAATTGACAGCACATATCAAGCAAATCGTCGATATGTCTCTTGCGTTCATGGACTACGTGAGGCAGTACAGATTTCGTCCTCTCCCAAGGGAGAGGGTTGAACTACGTATAGGTGTAAATAGCGGTGAGTCATTTCTTTTGTGTACTTCCTTCGGCGGGAGCGCGTGCGGTAATGTATGCCCTTTGTATTGTGGGTAACCCTTTGTATTGTGTACTTCTCAAAGAATGAACGGGCTAAAAGGTTACTTGCTACTGGATTGCAACTTTGAAGCTCTTACACCGCTCAAAATAAGGGTATCAAATCCTGACTGCGTCCATTGACCTTGGATCCTATTCAGGTCATTAATTTCATAGATTCGGTTCAAACAGAGTCCAGAGGTTCCCATAGCGCTTGATGACCGGCGGGCTTCTGTCATGATAAAGCAGAAAGCCATTAACCACAGCGACCTTGCTCCGAATGGTCAGGCACGGAAAGGCTACATGCCACATAATTTTAGCGGAGCTCTCAGGTAAAATCCTCTGATCTCCCGGTTTTATATTCCAGCAGCGGTAGGGATGTCATACAGCGCTTATTCATGCTTGCCGAGGATTATTTCAGGGAAATTTTTTCTGGTAGCTTCACTTAGCACACAGTTTGGAGTTTTTGACCACTATTCATTCTTCATCACCACAAGGCTAATTTGCTCTGCCTTTCCTTTCTATCAACACAAGTTAAATGTTGCAATATAGCTTTTGCACAACAAAGAATTTACCCATTGATTCCGTTCGGTGAAACGGTAACCTGTTTGCTTTCTGGTACCCATCGACCTCTAAACGGCCTTAATTCCTAGTTCTCAAGCTTTCTTTCCATTGTTGCTTTCGAGCTGTCAAATTCACTAACCTCCTGGCACGTTTATCTTTACTAGAACGCAAAGTACCTCGCTTCTGAAAAGGAAGCTTTTCAGGACATGAAGCGCTTTTCAAACGGTTTTGCATTTTATAGAGACAATCGGAAGGGAGGGACATGAACCCAAGAACAATTTTTTTAGAGTGGCTCAGGGAATGCTAAAAACACGTTGAGAGAATGGCTTCTGGTCCGATCTCCACTAAAGGGGAAATTCTGCATTTCTCTGATTTCCGCTTTCTTGGGCTCATACATGTCTAAACTTATACAGTGAACAAAAAGCTTCCAGAATGCATCATTCAATTGCTGGCAGCTTTTATTAGGAGACACCAGTTTTGCTTCGCCCGCTATCGCGCGCATCACACGGCAGGCTTTAGCGAAACTGAAAGACCCATGGAATATTGGCATGAGGTGCTCCTCACCATTAGATGTGTTAGACCTTTCCCAGTTTCGCTAAAGTCCATCGAGAAAACGCGTGATAACGTCTGAGCTGAACTGGTATATCTCACAACTGTAAACATCCAGCATTTTTCTTGAATTAAGATAATTTAGCGGTGAATAGGATTTTCTTGTCGTCAGTCTCGAAATAAAAATGAAATATGCCTATTTACATACACCAGATTAGTCCCCCGTCAACCGCCGGGACCTTCCTTTCCTGCGCAAGCTTTCTATCCTCCGCTATGGTCCCTTCCTCCTGTGACACCAACACCTCGTGGAAGTGACGCGTATGCAACACAATGGTGTTTCAAACAGTAGAAGGGACACAATCATGATATGACGGTAGATTTTTCGCTTCCCTTCCTCATCCTCCCTTCCTCTCTCCACTGCCCTCCAGCTGCCACTGCAGCACCATGTGGAATGAACGGAAGTGTGCTAAGCAGGTGTTTATATAGCCCTAAGAGTGTTATCACAACTATCCTGCTACAAAACATTGATATCTCAAATCCTGTAAGCTACCCGATTTGTTAGCGGTTTGTTTATCCCATGAGCTTCCTTCTCACTCACTTCATTTTGCGGACGGACACACATACATACACACACACACACACACACACACATACAGATACACAAACCGACACACAAAGTTAGCGCTTTATATAATAGAAGGATTTAAAAGTCCTACCTTTTTAAGGAGAAAATTTCTGCCTTTTTTCTAACCGATTTTCTGCTTACTGATTTTTTCCCAAAAGGGCGAACTTGAAACACAGTTCTATACCCCTTGGCACTGAAAAGCGCGTTAATTTTCTGATCCAAAACATCCAAGGGTCGCTCAGCAAAAACGGCTCCATTTTTATGCTCCACGCACATACTCCTAAAACATGCAACAAACCGTTCCGAAAAAGGCATGTCCTGAAAAACTTCCCTTTCAAAAGCTAGAAATCCATGAGATTAAATGGAATTTCAAGTGTTCTTCATGCTTACAGCCACTAGGGGAACTATCGAAGTATTCGAGAAAGAATGGGGTGTCCCTTCGTCCCCCCCCCCAAACTGGAGTTTCACCGATTTTTTGCATATCAATTATCACGCTTTTTAGGAGGCTGTGTAGCAGGAGTTGTGGGACTCAGTATGCCTCGTTACTGCCTATTTGGAGATACCGTGAACACAGCTTCCAGGATGGAAAGCAATGGGAAAGGTACTCAAAGGTTTTGCTTCGATAAGATGTTCAATGGTACTGGTTTTGCTTCGATAAGATGTTCAATGAAGTTGTTTAGCTAGTCACATTCATCTGTCACAATCGGCTCACAATCTGCTCACAACCACTTTCCCATCACAGTATGAAACCGAGCGCCGAGGCGAGGTGATCATCAAGGTGACGTTGTTTGTTAATAATTATAGCTCTACAGCAAAAGGCAGCGAGTAATCAGATTTAACGACGGAGAGCCTAATCAAGCATAAAAAGAGTGGTGATTGGACAGCTGTCACCTTTATCAGATATGATAATGCCACCGATCAGATGCAAAAATTTGAAATGTAAACGTTAGCGCCGTCGTTCAATTTTTCAAAAACTGCTGCGCCTGTGAAACAGCAACTGTCTGTCGAATGCGACAGCCACTGCGCTAGTGTTCAAGGCAAAGTCATAGCAGGGTTTTAACCTTCGACACTTATGATGTGGAGCGATGTGCAAGCCCAACTCACCTTGGAAAGCCGCTAGAAAGGGAGCTGAACAGCTTCGAAGTGGGCGTGGTTGTGCAGTCCCCTCGGCCGATTCCAACCACGCCCACTTCGAAGCCGTTCAGCTCCCTTTCTAGCGGCTTTCCAAGGTTTTTTTTGTTCAGTCACACTTCTTATGTTCTTGACTAGGGCTAGCGCATCGTTCCGCGTTCTCACCATTAGTGTCAAAGGTAAAAACCCTGCTGGGACTGTTGCTTTACCCTCAAACGGGCACGACATCGACGGGCGAACGAAGGTCACACTGCTTGGGTTTTTAACCGTTTCCGTTGTTCGTAATTCTTCAGTGGCATCATATGGCGCATTTAACTTCACCTTTAAACAATATGAGCTGGTTGCGGGGCATGTCTTTAAGTTCTCCGTATTCAGCTTTTGACAGAGAACGCTTTTTTCTTTATTTTTCCATGGAAAAATAGTGTTGACTCATCCCATACCCAGAGTAATATAAACTCGCAAATTTGATCGGAATTAATTTTCTCCGTAGTTACCGATCGGTAGGAATGTGGTCAGACAATCAGATGGTTTTCCCAGTGTCTGCAGCCACTCAATAGGCTGCTCAACCTTGCGGGAATTTGTGCTAAGTTACGGTGCGGCGTCGCGCAAACGTGCTGCTCATGGCTCACGGCATATCCATATGGAACTGTTCGTTTCCATTTCCGTACAAATGGGCTCTGTGCAATTTCGCGCGACGCCGCGCCATGACTTGCTCAAATAATCTGCCACAACGGCGACGGCGCAGCGATTGCAAGTGCGGCAAAGCACGCGCGGCCTAAGCCTTGGCGAAAACTTACCCCAGGCCTGGTAACTATGGTTGAGAGTGCAACATAGAAGCCAGTTTGCCATAGGATCATTACGTTAGTACGGAAGCGTCCTTTTGTATCAGGCCCCGCTCTCGAGGTCTGACACCGTTTTCAGAAATCGGAGGCACCGGACATACGGGTACCCGACAGGAGGCCCGTTGCACGGCAAGAGGCACAGTCAGCGGACGAGTCGCAGCGCGTGATGTGCGATGTAGAATTTACAATGGTTGATCAGTAGAGCAAGCGCTGCGACTCGTCCGCTGACTTGCCTTCTTGCCGCGCAACGGGTCTCCTGTAGGGCACCCCAGGACATACCTTCCCTGCGTGCAGTACCTAACCAAAGTAGATGAAATCACCACATATTAACTCAGATTCAATAGATATATAGTAGATAATGGAGTATAAAGTCTATTATGGGCTGATGTGTACTTTTAGCACCAGTGAGTCAAGACTTTGCACTGTATGACTACCTCAAGAGTGTCAATATATGAGAGATCTTCTGTTTTTAAAATCTTTATATTTGCCTTGCCTATTTCCAGTTAAACGGTAGTGATATGGAGGACAATTCTGGGTTCTGAGTCGGCAGCGACCGACAAATCGCGCGACAGCTTGCACAATCCCGAAGAGCAAGTGAAGATTGCAAGGAGTCCACGAATCCACCCAACTATCGACTTATCATCTCTCATGAAAATGAGATGCTCTACGCTGAAACATAACGGAAAGATCGCAGAGCAGCAATTCTGTGAGATGGATCATGATTCTCTTTAGATAAATATAGAAATTGGGAATAACATGATTGTCGTACGCCACATTATTGGTTGTGTTCCGATTTTTTTTCATTCTGGCTTGAAACAAGGTGCAAGCAATCTCCAGCTCTGTACATCCACGATTGCTCCGTGAATGCTGCACCAAAACATCCGCTGGGCTGCACCATGTTTTTAGAAGTGGGCGCCGAGTTGCTTAACAGAAAGGGATGCGGCTCTTTTCAGAAGGCGTGGCTGCCATTATGACTCTTCCAGAGAAGTTCCTTCCCATGGTGGGACCAGGGACTCTTGTCACTGTCGCGTATGAGGATGTAACTACCGTTGTCGATTTGAATTGCGCTACAGAGAGCCTGTTGGAAGAAATAGAAACCGATGAATTCTAATTTCAGCAAGTGTTTTTCATGTCGCATAACCTATCTCCTGCGCAGCGCAGGAGACCTACCGACAGCTCTCACAGGGGAAGTTCGGTGCTTTCTATGACGCTTTTGCCTGCTCTCTGCGTTCCTAGTTGCAGCTCATTAATTTTCAAATACAGTAATCAGCAATTCGATTTCGATCAGGGTGAAAATGGTCGGGGAAATCCTCCACCATGGCTCTATGAAGAAATGGCTCTCTGTTGTGCGAGGAGTAAATGTTCGAGAGTGGAAACCGAAGTGAGGCGCGACGTGCTCAGCGGCTGGCTAGTGGTAATGTACCAACAGCGGGAAAGCGTAACAAGGCAATCAGGCAAACATCAGGCAAAAATCCTCGCCGTACCGTTGCGGGATGCTCGCGCGATATTCACCTTGATCTCGACCCGTGCCTTTAAGCCCGCCTATGCTGCTATATATGTCGTTGAGTGCGTGAAAGATCATGGTCAAAAAGTAAGCCCAATCACGGAAACATGCGCTGTCGTAAGCGTATCAGTTATTATTGGACAATTACACACCTTCACGGTAAACATATCACATCATTGTAAACAAAATGTGTTTGGAGAATGAGCTTGCGATCATCTGCAAGCATGGTCGTTAGTCGGCGACATAAATCTTTGAACTCGTGCTTCTTCCTGTGATTTCCGTAATGCCACTCCCTAGGATTGCACGATCGCGCCTGTCCTGCATAAACATATAATGTCTAGTTGCAAGCTAGAAATAACTCATAGCCGCCACAGCCTGAGCTCTGACGTGCGAGACCAAAGTTCCCAGTTCAGGGAGGTTTCTTCATTTCACAACTTCTGTCGATCTCCGTATTGCCCTTTGTTGAAAATTCGGCACTATGTGCCAGTGGTCTTTATGTTCTTTTTACACATAAAATCGTCATTGGGAAGTTTCGTTGTCTGATTTGACAGTTGACGTTCTCGTCGTCTTCAGAAATTAAGATGGCAAAAAGATCTTAAAAGATCTTGCAACATATTTGAATGACGGACGCACCGCTCGCAGCGGATCTGGCGACTCCTGCGCGGGACTATCGCTAGGGAAGAAAGAAGAAAAGAGATGAGTTGTATAGCATTTTCCGACTTATTCCCGCGTGGAACGTCGCGCGGTTAGCGGGAGCAGTTTGTCAGACGCGCAATCCCGCCAGCTTTTCCCACAGAGTGCGTTTTTTGGAGAAAAGTTGCAAAACAGGGGTAGAAGTTGGGAACACTCGACAGCAGGCCAGGCGCGCGGCAAGAAGCTCGAGTCAGCGTACGAGTCCGCGTGTGATGTGGGCAGTGTACGACCTACAATGCCACACAACCACTGAATGTTTGAGTTGACTTGAACGCGATTCACCACAAGTCCCCGTTGTGACTCTTTTTCCGCTGACTCTGCCCCAATTTCTTGCCACCCGTTTAATGTCGGGCGTCCTAGCCCCGGATAGCCTTAGAGATAGGATCCTGCCGGCGAAACGACGCCGCAATGTTTGCGGTGGCACGCCTCTCCAGATTCCAACCGTTATCACGTATAGTGAAATCCTTGAGTCTGGAGGGTATACTCGGTTCGTGAATGGGGCTTGGGGGGGGGGTCGGGGTTCGAGTAGGTCTGCGATTAGAATACAATCTGAGGAAAGCCAAATATCCATGGTTCACCTAACCGATTAGAATAACATCTGAGGAAGCCAAATATCCAATCGTATAACTTCGTATAATGTATGCTATACGAAGTTATTTATACGCGCGTTTTGGCATTTTTGGCCGCGTGGGACCAGAGCGGTTCTGCGAGCGCCGCCGCCTCACAACAAATCTGTGGATTTTGAGCTTTAAATACGCAATACTTCGATGCGACAAAATGTTTTCACTGATATTCGGTGTGTCAAACTTATTGGAAGGTACACATGTGAAAGTGCGGTCGAATGATGTGTTACAGCATTGAAAAGGCAAGTTTCACTTACTTTTGCTTTAGTGATTTCAAAATTATTTTGGACGTGGTTGTTTCGGTAAAAACACATATCTTGCCACACGAGTAGCTTTGTACTCACTTCTAATATTCTTTTTTAATCTACATGTTCGTGTTAATGAAGAGAAAATGAGGAATGAACTGAACGGATATTTTCGTCCGGTCCGAAAAACCTCTGCCAAACTAAAGAATATTTGGTCATTCTATAAGCCGCGTGGTTCTTGGTTATGTTGTGGTATGGCCTAAAAAATGAACACAAAAAACCTGGGAAGAAATGGCGCGTTCAAGAAAAAACTGAATGTAAAGGGTGTGGCAACTATAGTTGCCACAATGTCCATTGCGGCGTGCAAAACGCGGCAAACCGTACCACGCACCGTAGGCCCCTACGTATTCTATATTACCTGCTAAGAACCTTCTATCGCCTAGCAGGCCTCTTCTGTGAACTAGTTGGCGCGCTGCCTCGTCAAGGTGGGTTTGTAAGCTAATCCTTCCATATTAATGATGACCTAACTTTACAACTAAAACTGGATCAAAATCAACTGCAAAGAGAGTGTACAATGCTCGAGTCAAGTTAGCGCTTCCCACCGTAGCATTCATCACGAAAAGAAAGCCAAATTAAAGGTTCCAAAAGGAGTTCAACAGGAACATGTTCGCGGGTTGTACACACCAAGCCGTATTGAAAAGACCAGGCTCGCTCCGTGGCAGAATAAAGCAACAAATAGAGTTAGCAGTAAATCGTAGGAACTCAAACCAGCAGTTCGGTGCAAGTGGCAC